TCCCCTCGCACGGTTTATTTCTCCGAATTCAGCGTTTTTGCTTCACAACTAAAGCGAGCAGTTTACTTTGTGCACTAACATGGACTCGAGTCAACCAGCGCCACCTCTGGCCAAGTGCCACAGCCTACAGCCAGATCAACTTGTGACACACATCTGCAGCACGTTTGAATTCGTGTCATGCACAGTGTTGGGACTAACGCGTTATTAAGTAACGCGTTACAGTAACTACGTTATTATTGTGGTAACGAGCACGGTAACTAGTTATTATGCCAAAATCAGGAACGCGTTACTCGTTACTGGGATTTAGATAGGCTCGTTATTCGTTACTTCGTGTGGTGGCTATCGCGGAGCTTCCACAGATTCAGTAACATTAGCAAGTGGTGGAGGCCAGCAGGTGGATGAAGGAAAAGGGGAGGCAAGAGGAGAGACCCGAAGCGGCCGCCCGTCCGAGTGTCAGGTGAACTGAACTTCAGGTAAGAAGTTATGACCTGCAGTCTCTCTGGGTCAGATATAAACCAAGTTTAGTTGGAGTTTATTTTCGTTATGTTGACTTTTTCGTACTGCGTGCTAGCTAGCATGACGGGGTTTCTATACAGCTGGGTGGGTGCTATGTTACTGATGTTGAACTTTATTTTGTTCATACGGTTAATTATTAGAGTTGCCAACCGTCCTAAAAAACGGAATCGTCTCGTATTCAGAGAAAATATTACGCGTTTCGTATTGAGGTGAAAAGGAACAGTTTGTCCCGGACTTCAGCTACAATGAAAAAGACACAAAGCTGGAGTTATTCTGTGTCTTTGCTGCACAGCTGCCTCTTCTTCTCTCATTCTCTCCCCCTCCCTCTCCTGTTGCTACTTTAATCATGAAACTGATCAATGATCAGCTGATCGGCTTTTCCCTCTTGTTTATTTATCGTCCGCTTTGCGCCAGAAAGAGGAAACCACCGGATGTCACGTTAAACAACAGCAGCACGTTTGATCAGCTGTTGTTAGAATTTATTTAATATTACTTTCTAGTATCAGCTGATGTTTGCTGGAGCCACAGCTGTAAAGCTGGATATGTGGTGGTTTTGTCCCAGTCCAGCCCTGTATGCAGCTCATCTGCAGTCTGGTGTTGCCTACATCTTCCTATTCGGAAGGCAGAATTTCTGAGTTCTGAGTACAATCAAAAGCACCACGACTGCAGTTTTTGTGTTGGATGTAAAAAGCGCACATGACGCTGTAACGTAGGCTAGAATCATTTCGTGAGAAATGCAAGAAGTACATCTGCAGAAAGCACACAGTTACATTCTGTCCATCATGTGGACAAAATAGAAAATGTTGAGCATTGAAAAACTGAGAACGTTGGGCAAGTTCAAAAGAAATGTGTTTGTAAGAACGAAAAACCAAATTGTTCCTAAAATAGTTATGGAAAGTCTAACTGTTGTATGTCTGTGTTCTACATGTTTATCTAATGGAAAATAAAGTTGCTATTGTTTTATTGCAGTTTTTGGATAATTCTGAGTGGATTTACACAGTACGGATCTAAATGACCCGCAACAAAATCAATGTCAATTGTTTGTTCTTCAACATAATACAAGGGTTAATTTCCAAAACTTGCTTATGATCTTCAATTTGTAGCAGATCCACTATCACACAGCAGCTGGAGCAGTCTCCAATGGAGGTCAGTCCACTGCTGCCACCTGTGGCCAAGTACCATAGCCTACTACTAGATTAACTTGTGACACATCTGCACCTGCTGCTATGATCACATTGAGTAGAGGCTGAGTGGCTGCACTTACCCCTGGTACATCCAAATCTACCCACAAACATGTTGAAAGATGCAATGCCAGCAATGTGGATTGTCAACACTAAAAACAATCAGTAAGCAAAGACAACAGGGATCATTTTTTCTGTTTATTTAGCACCCACAACATTTGTAGTCGCCTTCTGCACAGGGGAAGTCCACACACACTGTGTGGTACCACTTTCCACAGAAGGTGCATTCAATCTGCAAGATTGAATGAGATTGTCAGGGTCATTGTCTGACTGTTTATTACTAATCACCTGCTGTACATTCACAGTAACTGCCATCTCCTTACAAATGTTTATTAGATTAACCACACTTATACAGACTGTATATAACAACCAACTCTAAAATGTTTGTTCGCAGAGAAAAGACACAGACAGACTACGCTAACGACATGTGATGTTACAACACTAGTGAAATATTAGTGTCATTTCATTCATTTCAAAGGTTTATTTGCATGACGCACAAACAGACACAATTGAAAGGTACAAATGTGCATGACACGAATTCAAACGTGGTGCAGATGTGTGTCACAGGTTGATCTGGCTGTAGGCTGTGGCACTTGGCCAGAGGTGGCGCTGGTTGACTCGACTCCATGTTAGTGCACAAAGTAAACTGCTCGCTTTAGTTGTGAAGCAAAAACGCTGAATTCGGAGAAATAAACCGTGCGAGGGGAACGATAACGACGACAAGAGTCTCCCGATCGTTTACTCTTGCTGTCCTGTGAACAACATCGGCGTGGTGTTACTTGTTTGCTGTTTTCGCGATCGCGTCACGCATGAGGATATCACCAGGTAAACTCGCCACATTTTTAAACATTTTGTTGTTCAACAGCATCAAGACTGACGGAGTGTGTTTGAGATAACCTCACAAGTGTCACAGGTGACACATTTGGCGTTTTTTTGCTGGTTTGTCGGTAGCAGCTCCTGAAACGCAAGTCTGCCACACATCTGTTCGACCAACGCCAGTTGATCTAAACGCCAGTAGTTTAGATCAAACGCCAGACCCCCCTCCGACAGCCAAACCCATCTGTTCTCTGATTGGATTGTTACATTTGTGATTGACATGACATTGACCAATCAGATGAAAGGAAGAAAAATAGGGTCAAAATCCGTACTTGTAACTTGCAGGGTTTTTTTTCTAAGTCCACACACAAATCTTTTTTACACATACAAATCTTTTTTACGCACACACAAATTCTTTTTACACATACAAATCTTTTTTACGCACACACAAATCTTTTTTACAAGTACAAAATATTTATGACCACATTTTGAGCCCATACCTCGCATGCACAGGAACAGAGCCAAAGAGAAAAAGAGCGAGGGACAACAACGTCACATTAGAAAGGTATAGTAGATTCAGAAATCATGCAGGCCCATATGACAGAGAATGTGCATCTTCTTTTTGTTTTAATATTTTAATTTATATTTAATTGTGTTGTGGTTTGCAGTGTTTTGTGTTGTTTCACGTTAAATTTGTTTAAAAGGAAAAAGCTGAAAATTTAAATAGTTAAAAGTTTAAAATGTAAATAGTTGTTTTTTGTATTATATGATTTATTTATTACATTTTATGTGGAGTGAATAAATAAAAGTATATTTACGGTGGCCCCTACAGACAAAACACGTACAAACTCCAAAACACGTAAAAACTCAGAAGCACGTACAAAAGACAACAGAAGTGCTCCAGGATGCTAGGGCGCAGTGTTGAGCTTTTGTTACCTAGTTTCTACACAACCCAGGAAGTATCAACAACCGGATTTGGTGTGTGGTAGTAACAGGTAAATGAACTTTTTTAATTATTTGAATAAATATGAGTGTTTGTCTATAAATACACAAACAATACACATATGCTTTCAATTGTGTAATTTAAGTGATCTGGGTAGCTCTGTTTTGGAAGTTCAGTTAACGCTAGAAATGTGTTTTGGAGTTTGTACGTGCTTTTTGGAGTTTGTATATGCTTTAGCGTTTGTACGTGCTTTGTCTCTAGGGGCCATATATAAACATATATAATAAAACTACTTTTTTTACATTAGTAATTCCTTTTCTGCATAATTTTATATTATTGTTAATAATAAATTAATTAAAGCAACAAAACAACCTGAAGAGCCGGTTCGGAGCCGAAAGAGCCGGCTCTTTTTAGTGAGCCGAGCCGAAAGAGCCGGATCTCTAAAAAGAGCCGGAAATCCCATCACTACTAGCGCCCCTGTGGGTAGCTTCAACAATAGCAGCTATCATTACACCACTCACTGTGTTTAAAGACTGATAGATGCAGCTTACATCAGCACATACATGAAAATCTAACCGAGAGAACACAAACAGATTGGCGACCTTTGACGAATGTATGAAATAATAACAAGGAAACATAATTTTTAAAAATGAATTTATTTTTGGTTTGTAAACAACATCAACAGTGTTTAATCTGTGAAGGCACTGTTGGGTGCTGAAGACTCCGCAGGCTTGGGTCACTGATGGTCTTGGTCACTCAGGCCTGTGAATCCAGTTCCTGAAGAACTCCGTCACCATCCTCTGCAGGAATATCGCAGCAAGCTTCTCTCTGTCACCATAAAGTATCACAGCCAGTCCGTCAGTCTGGTGGTAGATGAGATGGAAACGAAACCAGGAACACACACGCAGGACAAAGAGCAAAATGGCATCTTCACCGTGTCCGTCCATTGCAGCTTCAAGTCTGTTAGAGGGAAGAACAGATCATAAGTCACAGTCACTGATAGCTAAAGATGCGTTCAAGAAAACACTATGCTTATTCTTCTTTATGTCCACATATTCTTACCTTTCCCCTGTCTGTCCCTGAGTCTTTTCTTTTCACTCATCACTCACCCTCACGTGTTTTTTTCCATTGCCTAATTATTTATACCACTGAACAGTCCACTCAGAAACAGTAAGATTCCATGAAAATTGATAAGAAGCCTAACATCCCAGACGGACTTTTATATGTGCATAGAATAATGACCATTATATGATCATAATAATGCTAGCTGTTGGAAAGGCTGTCAGCTGTGTGGGGGGGGCCCCCTTGTGGCGAGAGAGCACAGTTGCACTATTGAGCACATGTTCCAGTGATCAGAGTTGGAGCTAGCACATAGCAAGAGCCACCTGGCAGACTGACTCTTAGTAGTGATGTGCGATACCACTGATTTCCTTTCCGATCCGATACCAAGTAATATTCAGGGTGGTATCGACGATACTGATCCGATACCGATACTTTGTACAAAAACGTATTTTATTTATTGTATCTCAAATTATAGCATCATAATGATTACAGGACATCAGATTACTTGTTCTTATCACTTAATAATGCAGAGTTCATCATATAGAAATAAAAAAAACTGAAGTTGTGCGCTATTTGAACACCTTGCCTGCCTGCAGCACTAAAGGACTCCGTGAGAGACGTCTGTCTCGCCCTAGCAGCACCTGTCCCTGTCCTCCTCTTCAGTTCGCCTCAACATACGCTCGTCATATTCTGTGATATGATTTACTCTGAGGTGTTTGACAAGGTTAGTGATGTTGCCACAACCATACATGCCAACCCTCCCGATTTTTCCGGGAGAATCCCACCTTTCTCCAGATTTTCCACCCGGACAACAAAATTGAAAAACCATATCGCAGAATTCATAGCGCGGCCCAGCCAATTCCAGTTTCCAACAATGACGGCAGCTACTTAGTTTTAATATTACTCTTATTTCTCTTTCTGGGTCGCAAAAAAACTTTTAACATATTTTCAGGTGAGAATGTAGCTGTGTAAACTTCAAATATCTGAGCCGACCGACACATCGTCTTCAAACCCCCGCGGTCTTTCACTACTCGGGTTAAACATGATATATAAGTCACTTTGATAACTTAAAAATGTTATTGTTTGGCTTTTTCAGTGTTTTATTTGTTCGTGAGTAAATCGGTTTGGCTGAGATTAAAGTTATTAGATTAGATTAAATTAAATTTAACTTTATTAATCCCTCGGGAGGGTTCCTCCGGGGTTTTCACACAGCTGAATAAACGTCAAACAGAAAATGATTAAACAGAAGTGTGAGACGGTCGAGAGTTTACGCCCGGTTAGATAGCAAGGAGCAGACGGCAGTTTCACTCCACCGAGGGAGCTCGTGACGTACTACCCGGCTTTCTTTAGACCGAAGGCCGGGTCCTCAGGTGGAAGCAGCCTCTGAATTTGGACACCCCCGCTGTTTCCGGGCCGGCCAATAATAACGGTGACATTTAACGTATTTTATCCGATAAATAAACACTGTAAAATATATTTATCCCCCCAAACAGCCCTTTTGAATGTCTCCCTAATTCTGAGGTCTCAAGGTTGGCAATCTCTCCATCAACAAACAAATACAGCTCAGGCGCTGAGATGATAGGACAAGAAATAGCACAATAATAATAATTAATAGGGAAAGACAAAAGAAAGAAAACATTAAAATTTGAAACTACCAGTATCCATAATGAATTAAATGTCATGAATATGTAATAAACAGGGAAATTGCAGTGCCATGGTACATGTTTATACAACGTGAGCTTTCTCAAGGTGAGTACAAAACCGAGTCCAGGATTTTGAGAAAACATTTGCCGCAGGTGTTTGCAGGTATCGAACTTTTTCCAGCTGAATGACTGATAACATGTCATTGAGCCAGACACTGAAGGAGGGAGGAGCAGCGGACTTCCATTCCTTTAGAATAAGTCTTTTCACAATCATCATTCCGAGGTCGATTGGCACCCGCACAGTCGCAGGGATAGTTCTGGAACGTACACAGCCAAAAACTGCAATTTCTGGATTGGGTGAGATGGAAATCCCTTAAGCTTTAGAGTACCAATCAAATATTTTGGACCAAAAATTGGTCAATGAGGGGCAATGCCAGAAAGTGTGAGCCAATGTGCTCTCTGATGTTTTACATCTGTCACATATGGGGGAAGTTGAAGGATAAATTTTGTGTAGTCGAACCTTGGAATAATGTAGCCGATGGACAATTTTAAATTGTATTAATTGATGTCTACTGTTAACAGAGCAGGAATGAATTTTTGATAGGCATTTGTCCCACATTGATTCTGATATTTCTATGCCCAATTCCTCCCTCCAAGCATCTCTTATCCTCGAAATCTGCACTTCAATGCTGTCATCAAACAAATGTACAATTGTAGAAATCAAATGTTTGGAGTAAGGAGGGCTCAGGAACACCTTAAAAAGATTATGTTCATGTGGAACATCTTGGTAATTCTTCATATTGGATTGCATAAAATGCCTGACTTGTAGGTAACGGTAAAAATGTGAATGCGGTAAATCGAATTTTTGCTTAAGCTGATTAAATGATGCAAATTTTTCATCAATATAAAGATCTTTGAATTTGATTAAGCCCTTCTCCTTCCAAACATAGTAGGATTTATCATCCCAGGGAGGCAAAAAGGCATGGTTATCACATATTGGTGCCTGCACAGAGGAGTTTGGCAGTTCAAAAAAGCCTCTAACTTGGTTTAAAATCCGCACAGATTGTTTCGGAACAAACCCCAGTTTCTTAAGACTCTCAGCCCTTCCTACTTTTGAGAAAAGCAGGGCCTCTAGAGAGGAGCCCCTTACAATGCCAGCCTCCATTTTAACCCAAAGGGGGATGTTGAAATGACCAAGATCTGAGGATGTCTGTTGCCAGAAGGTCAAGGCTCTTAGATTTGCAGCCCAGTAATAATGTTTAAATATTGGTAAACTCAGACCTCCCTCCGATTTGGATTTTTGTAGATGTAGTTTTGAAATCCTAGGATTCTTGTTGTTCCATATGTAAGAAGTAATAATTGAGTCCAACTCCTTAAAGAAAGAGGAAGTGAGATAAATAGGAAGATTTTGGCAAAGATACAGAAATCTAGGAAGAGAGACCATTTTTATGGAATTTATACGACCGACCATAGATAGGGGAAGAATTTTCCATGACTCGATGTTATGCTTTAATGTTGATAAGAATTCAACAAAGTTCAAGCTTAAAAAATTAATTTGGGATCTTTAGGAACAGTTAATCTAAGGTATGTGAGATGGTCGTTAACTATTTTGAATGGAACATTACAAAGAAAACTCTGCGAACCGGTTTTAGATAAAGGCATAAGTTCACTTTTAACCCAGTTAATTGTATATCCTGAAATTTTGCCAAATGAGGTGACCAGATTAAGAAGGGATGGTACAGATTCTTCTGCATTACGCAGGTATAATAGTACGTCGTCTGCGTACAAACTAATAACAGTTTCAACCCCTCTGACCAAGAGTCCTTGTATTATTGGGTGTGCTCTTATCTTAATCGCAAGGGGCTCTAATGCCAGAGCAAATAGAGCAGGGGACAGCCCTGCTGAACAGAGCGCTGCAAAGGAAATGGCGCCAACCTCTCTCCATTTGTGAGAACTGAACAGATTGGATTTGCGTATACTAATTTTACCCAAGATATAAATATTTCACCAAACCTAAACTTCCGTAATGACTCGAACATATAAAACCACTCAACCTGATCAAAGGCTTTGTGTGCACCAAGAGCTAAAATTGCTGCTCCTCACGAACTACCATGGTCAGAATAGATGGTGTTGAGAAGACGTCTAACATTGAAAAAAGAAAGTCTGCCAGGGATAAATCCCGTTTGATCGGAGTGAATAATGGAGGTCAAGTACTTGTTCAGTCTAGTTACTAAAATTTTGGTTATCACCTTTCGATCAAAATTTTGAAGAGCAATTGGCCTGAAGTTAGCAGGATCTGAGTCATCTCTGCCTTTCTTCAAGATTAATGATGTTTATTTATTAAACACAACATTTACCTCACACTTCTCAGCTTTGCCTTTCTGTCACACTAAGACACACCAAGGAGAATGATTATTAATTATATATAATTAATAATTATATAATTATATATAATTTTTTACTTTTCCTTAGCGTACAACACTGTAAACCCAAAGAAGTTGGCAGCTCAACTCTATACAGTGATCTTTGTTCCTACAAGTGTAAGGCATACACCAAGTTTTGACCTGCCAGTATCTTTGCTTTGGTCAGAACAAGAACCTATGTTGCTCATCAAGGTGGGTAAAGTAGCCACATTTGGTTTCTAGTAATTAGACATTTTTGAAAGAGACGTAAATGAGAATTCTGATTTTCAAAAGACTGGCGTGCAGCAACATATTCCTCTCAAAAAAATTCAGCCACTTCTCTACATGGTCATATCACTAAAAGTTAACTTCTCTTTGCTTTTACCAGCTCATGTCACTTACCCAACAATTACTCCTTGTCTTTTTCATCAGTTCTGAAATCTTCGCTAACGACATGAAACTAAATTTCAAAGACTTTGTCATAATCTCTGTATATAATAGAATATTGTATCAAAAGAAAAAGAAAAAACAACCTCAGAACAACACACTGAGTAAATCCTAAAAACTTTGCAGTCTGTCTCAGCTACCGCAATGAACTCAGCTAACTTAGTGAAGTGGCTGTGTTAGCTTATTAGCTGCTAGCTTATTAACTGTCAGCTATCTATCAGGGGACCCAGCATTTTCAGTTTATATTATATTTTTGATTTCTTATGTTATATTAAAATAATGTAAAGTTCTTGTTTTATTATTTAGTTAGAGTTTAGTTGGTTTTTATTCTAGTTTATGTTCATCCATGTCTCTGTGTTTATGAGTCTTTTTCTGTCTTTGGTGTAAGTCTGTCTTGTCTTGTCCTCTATGTTGTACTTTTAACTATGTCAGTACTTTTCATCTCTCTTTTGCTCCCCTGTCTGTCATGTGTTTCATGTTAGTTAATTTATTTAAGTACTTTGAGTGCCTTTTTTTCTAGGTGCAGAAATTTCTATCTGCAGTCCAGATCTTTCACAAGCTGAAAACATTTGGTGCATCAAACAAAAAATGAGGGGAAAAAAAGATCCAGGACTGTTTTTTCAGGTTAAAAAGTTTATTTGTTTTCTGGGTTCTTTTGTAAATAAAATATTGACACAGAAACGCAACTTGTTGGTATTTCTAATATCTGTCTGAAATTCATAGCTGTATTCTGCCCACAGTCAAAGCATCCATTGTCTCTTTCAGGTTCATTCGGCCATTCAAATCACTGAATTCATGTGTTCCAATCATTTCAGTGGCCACAGTTGTATAAAAATCAATCACATAGGCATGAAGACTGCCGCTACAAACATTTGTGAAAGAATGGGTCGCTCCGAGGAGTTCACTACTAAATATTCTACAGTCAGTGGTTAGTGGTATTAAAACAAAGTGGAAACGATTGGGAACGACAGCAGCTCAGCCACAAAATGGTCACGCATAGTGGACAGAGATCAACAACTTTCTTCAGAGCCCATCGCTACATACTGCTCTAGAGTGCAGTGAAGGTGTGTTTCTTGAAGTAACAAATCACACTCAGACTGGCAATCTGATGACCAAGTCTGGGTTTCGTGATTGCCAGAAGAACGGTACTTTTCTGATTATACTGTGTCGAGTGTTAAGTTTGGTGTAGAGGGATTATAGTGCAGGGTTGTTCCTCAGGAGCTGGGCTCAGCACCTTAGTTCCAGTGAGAGGAAGTCTTGATGCTTCAACATCCCAAGACATTTTGGAGAATTTCATGTTCCCAACTTTGTGGGTTTGGGGATGGCCCCTTCCTGTTCCAACATGACTGCAAACCAGTGCAGTCATGCTCATCCATATATTTATATCCATAAATACATGGATGAGCGAGTTTGGTGTGGTGAAGAACTAAACTGGCCTGCACAGAGTCCTGAGCTTAACACAATAGAGCACCTTTGGGATGAATTAGAGCGGTGAGTGGGATGTTACTCAAGTTTATCTCCTTGTGAAGGCAGACGAGCAAATACTTTTGGCAATATAGTGTATAGGTGATCTCCAAACTGATGTTATTGGTATAATAACTGGTTTATTGGTAACAAATAAACTGCCAATATTGTCCGTTCATATTTATATTTGTCTCCCGCATTTCATGTCTACTGACTATTAAATACAAGTACCCAAAATAATTTCAGAGAGCTCATCTTTTAATCATTTTATTTGAATACACAGTTCATTACTGCTGGTGTGTGCCTTAATTACAAATGACTCTTAATAATCTCTCAATTACCATTTCTTTTTATATGTAGAAACTATGTGATTAATATATGTTTAAAAAAAATCTGTAGTCTTCCCTGATCTGGTTACAGCTGGGACTGCTGAACAGACTTTAGTCAGAGACTACATGTACACAAATCCTCTCAGCGGTAAAACAGTAAGACAGCAGCCTCAGTCATCTCTCTGGAGGTGCTCCAGCCTTGCATCCCACCCAGTCTGTCGTAGTCAAATGATGGGAAGTCCCCACACTGCTCAGGGTGGAAATATCCTCCTCCTCCTATACAGTACTGCAAACACACACACACACAAATATTGTCAGTACACTGGATATACTTTGATACAAGGTACCGTCCCTACACGCTGCATTGGTGGCTGCCCACTGCTTCACTGGGTGATTAGATGAAACTTTATTAATCCCTCGGGTGGGTTCCTCTGATAAATTCAGTAATTTCCCTATGAGGACTAACACATACAGCATTATTATTAAGCATTTATACCATTTGTTGTGATTACTCATTGCCTGCAGATGTGAGATGACTGATTACTCACATGTTCAGTGTTGTAACCAACAGTTGGCTTGACACCAGAGCAGATAGCCATGGCGGCACGTTCATTGTTTATTGCTCTGAATGTGATGAAGCCTGGTTCAAATTCGTCTTTCAAACAAGAAACATAAAAATATCATTAACTTTGGGATGCAATCTACACTTAAAAACATTTTACTTAACCTTTTATTAGTATAGATGATAATCCATGTGTATCCTATTCATCAATAATGGTATACACACACACACACACACACACACACACACACATAGATAGATAGATGGAGTTTTTATCTTCTTACTTCTTGAATTGGGTCCATACAACATTCTGGTGGACTCCTTATCCCCGTGGTCGTATACGATGGGAATAGCTGGCCCTCTCTCACCGCATGACCCAACATTGTATCTCACTGGATATTGCTGAAAAGATGAGACAGTCTTATTATGTGTAGATCTGCATGTTTGTTTGTGTAGTTAACAACATTTTTAACCACTGTTTTATTTTATACTAAAAAAGTGTCAGCTCTAACTGGTTAGAAATGGCTCAGGGCTGGAGTTATTTACATATCTGTAAATAGTTTCTGACTGAAAAGCAAACAAATGTAATGCTTTTGAAAATACAGTTTAAAAATCAACATGTGTGGCTGTGTGAATATGACTTTCCTGCTTCTGTGGAACAGCTACAGGCAAAACGAGAAGACCACAGAGACAACAAAAAAAGTGTCCAAAGGGAGTGAAGTAGTGCAGCCAGATATCTTCTTACCATTTATTTAAATGTAACACTTTTAATTTAATTGAACAGGACATTTTGACAGAAAGACGTCATAAGTGCAATATTCTTTCTTTGTGTGAGTCTTCAAGTGTTACAGAAAGAGAAAGAAATGCAAACAAAAACACTTATTTTTCAGTTTCCTTTTCCCATGCACAGACCACCCAAAGAAAGAGATCAATGGCAACAGTCATTTGTACAAAGTATCACCCATGCAGTAGTACCACCTTGTTAATGACAGACACTAGCTGCCAGGTAATTGATACCTAGCAGTTTGTGACCTTTTACCCTGGTTATAAGTTCGGTTTTTGGACAACTAAATTACCTTGAAGAGCTGAAAGAGATTTCCTCCATACAGTCTGAGGAAGCGGTTTTCAGTGTGGTAGCGGAGGACGGCTGCAGCTTCCTGGTTCCAGTGCTCCAGCGGCAACTTGTTGGGAATGTGCCACACAGACATGTCCTCAGCTGTTATATCATAGTAACCTGGATTCTGTGTGACGGGTACACATTACTGCTGTGACTTTAAATAAGAACTTTTCCACACTTATGCAATACTTATTTTGCAACAAATAGGTACATTTTCTCATTTCAATCAACCTTTGAAATCATGAAAGAGAACTTACTTTAAAAGTAAGTTTTGAAAAAGTAAAAGACAATTCCTAAATACAGAGACTCATAACAGAGACAGTAAAACAGGCAGTAATAGCAAGATGGGACAGAGAGAGGAACAGACATGGAAAATGAGAAAAAAGAAATCAAAGCAGAAATTCTAGGACTCAACAAGGGCTCTAAACTCTTTATTATGTTCTACCTATTTACCCTCAGGTACAGCTAGTTGCAGGTAATTGTAGCTAGCTAGCTTTAGATAGTAGAGTACAGTAACGGTGCACAAATCAAAGGTAAGTTTTACTGACTCTTTATCTTCTTTACATCTAGTTTCTGGTAAATCCAGTAGAAACAGAACTAAATGGATGTATTTTATTATCTTACTATGCCTTTTTATATGTAATGCTGATGTGAAATATTATTACAATCAGTTAAATGCAGTGGAATAAAATATGAGTTAAAAACAAGTAGAAAGTAATAAATGGAATTACTTAACCAACCTCAAAATAAAGTAAAGTAGTGTTAATGTCTCTTTCCACCACTGGTGACTTGTTATTTTACCTTAAAGTCATCAGCAGTGGCGCTCTCTACTGTTCCAAAGGTGTTTCTGTTGGACCAGTTCCCGTCTCCATCTGGCAGGTCAGCATTGTTGCCCTGCTGGCTGGACCAGCGATCACCCACAGTGCACCTTCCATAAACGCTGTTCTCATGGACGCTCGCCACCAGCGTCCATCCGCCTCCAGCTGTGGTCATGTCACAGTAAGTCTGGTACAGCATGCCATTACCTGTTGTCAGGTAGTATACTCCATCTGGAAATGTTATAGCATTAAGAAAACATAATTCAGTCTTAAGAGGACATAAATGCCTTGGACTGTTATGTTACATTTATGAATCTTGTCCTTACCTTCTCGTTCATCATATCTGTCCCTGAGGTCTTTACAGCTCCTTGCAACACGAATGGATCTGTTCCTCACTTTCTCCAAGTGCTCAAAATTTGTCCTGGTAAAGTTCTGCATCCTCTCAGCATACTCTCTTGTTTCTGTGATATTTACTAAAAATTTAAGCAAGTTTAAAAAAATTACATTTTGACAGCAGGAAGGGAAAGTACACAAAGTGCATGGCTATAAGCACATATATGTGTTGTATCAGGCTGTAAGGCTAATAGACATAGTTCACACATTTTTGAATTACCTATTTGTGAAGAAGGAACCTCTGCAAAGGACACATGTTCCAATGACAGCAGACCCACAAAAAGCAAAAATATGTTGTGTAACATCTCTGAGAGGGAAGAAAAACAACACAATTTAAACAATCAAACTGCTCAATGTTCTCTCACACCTTTCCGAATATGAGTATGCATGTGTGTGTTTTTACTTTAGCTGTGTTTCTTCTTGAAGGAGCTGTCTTGGTAATAATGAAGCTGTTTTCTGGTACTGAAAAATAAGTGATTTGTAAAATATTTCCATATCTCCCTTTTTCTCCTATATATTCCAGGTTTTTGATCAAGAAAAACAAACAACTCAAATCACTACAAAACAGGTATGAATCTTATCTGTAGACAAACACAGCACTGATGTGTCTGTCAGCAAGATTTCACAATAAAATGCTGACCTGAACTTTGTCATAAATGTGTGAGAGGAGTAAGGACAGAAAGAGAACCTATTACATTTTTGTGCAGATTTGGATTAATTTAAAAATGAAAGTGAGGATAAGCAGTTATAAACTGCTTATCAATACTCTGTATAAATAAAAATATTTTCAAGATTTTAAAAACTAGTACACCCGAAGTTTTAAACCAAAAAAAAATTGCCGTTTGTATCCCTACCATGTAGATCCTGTCCCGGGTCGAAATAAGGAAGTTGGAATAAGGCTTTTATTCACGTAACAGAAGAATATATAGAGCTGTTACACCTGTCATGTGACATTAAGAGCAAAGTTTAAATTCATAAGTGGGTCAAGTTATTGTTTAGCAGTTCATAAATTGTTCATAAATCATCTCTGCAGTCATTAAATTCCATTTTACTGATACTGGATGTTGTACTGACCTCGACTGTCCTGAAATGTTAAAGTCATTGACTGTGGAAAAATTCCTGTTGTTTCACTTTTCCATTTTGTTTAATTATAATAAAATGATTTGTAATCCTCCTAAAGTCCACATTTAAGTGTTTATCCTTAGCTCAAACTCTTTAACATAAATTAGTGGGTGTAATATCTGACATCAGCCACTAGATGCCGACGTTCTCGTGCCTGTATCAGGTTCATTTTCTGACCAGGACAGACAAAAACTCTGCTGCTTCCCTCCGGGTGCGTCTCATCGTGGTCTATTCTTAGAGGTTAGAGGGACACTGTGAGAGTGGGCTGGAAGGTTTTCTGACACCTCGCACTAATAATTCAACTGCCTCACACAACAGAACGAATGAAAACTGGCAGGAAAGATGCACCGACACAGCTGCACCGGCCACTTGTGGCCGTCTGTTGGAACCGTTTCTTCTTATTAATAAAGCATTGTGTGTCCTCTTCTTGCACTTCCCCAATTGTTTTCTCTCCCCCTCCAAGTGTTTTTTTCAACCCTGGAGCTATTTCTGGCTCTTGTCCCATGTACAAATGTAAATCAAAACTGTTACATAAACGCATGTCTGAATTATTTATTTTTAAACGGACACTGGCATTGGCAAAGGTTATTTTTCTTTTAGTTTCTCTGAATGATTGTTTAATCAAAGTAATTTTAAACCTTAGTAAGCCTGCGATGTTTCATTTTAACTAAAAATGTTGTTTTACAACAATAAGATTTAGTTCTGGTTCTGCATTCATTTTTTTTTATTCTGTATCTATTTTCAGTGCAGATCAAATTCTGGCATACACACAGCTTTGACTCGGTTTAGTTGAATACTCCAGACTATCTCTACCTTTACTTTTTTTAACTTTCTTTTTTTTATCTGGCTTAATTCTCTCGTGTTCTTTGACTTGAATGCATGCTCTTGTATAAGAGTTGTGTAGATGTAATTATAAACCAGGACAAAATCTAAATTTTTAAAAATGTGTTCTCTATAAATCTATAATAATGCTGAAAGCAGGGACTTCTCTCCCCCCAAAGACTTTTAGGATTATTGCAGCAAACAGTGTGAGAACTTTATGATCTGATTTCCCAAAGGACCAAAGGAGGATTATAAGGTCTGTCAGATAGAGAGACTTTACAAACCACAGTGGAGAAGAGAGAGAGGTGTGCAGGAAAGTCCACGTATCCTACACATAACTGCACATTCTCATCCAAAAAAAATTTAAGTTGGTGGGGTTTTTCTGGAAGCAACAGTTCAATCAGATTATGGTGGTTTTTAAAATAATTCAGAGATTTCCATATTATATCCCACAATTCTAAATAGATAGGAATGCTCAAAAACTAATGTGATTATGCACTGATTCACATCAGTGAGTCAGATTAAGCTACAGTTAGGGTGATGTTTCTGGCACCAATGGCTATCATTCAGCCTTGGTAGTAATCTGCCTTTGGTATGATGCACCTATTCACTTACACTGACATTACTTTAAACCTCTTAATTAGAAAACAGGTATCAAATGTTCATTCAACACCTGAAATCAGCTCCAGATTTTTTGTGAAATAACAAGGAAGCAGACCTCATGTGCTCATGAAACTACTTGTCAGTCAAAAGTTGTGTGCATAAAAATGGCTGTAATTGCTTAACAGTAAATCCAATACGTTTGTTAAAGTCTGAATTAAAGCAGAAATTCCACATTTCAGTCATACAACTATTGTGTGATTTATAATGCTCTGTGCAGAGTGTGCAGGGGTACAAAAGCTTTGCACTTTGTACTTCAATCAAATTCTGTATGTTATTTTATTTTTTGCCTAATGTTGAAACAACTGATATGATCTCTGGATTCCTTAAAGTGCCTTAAAACCCTCCCTAAAAGCCCATTTTTATCAGACTGGCAGGCCTTGTGGAAGCCATCAGCTTGTGAACATGGCCTAACCCTCCATGTGGTTTAAAGATTCCAAAGAGAAACTGTAAGCCGACTGAATTTTCTTGATTGGAAAAGACAAATAAAATCCATCAAAGCTTGTCTGGGTCTAAATCCAATCCATAGGAGAATGAGGAGAATGAACATCCGCAGGAAACAAAGATTAGAGTGGGACCTCTCTCATCATCGTTGTGTAGGATAAGAGTAGATTTAGCCTTCCACTCACAAACCATATACAAAAAAATGGTTTGTGATTACATATACATATTCACCAGTCACTTCATTGGGTACATCTGTACAGCCTAAATCATTTAGGCCTGTAGACAGGATCAAGATGACCTGCTGATGTTCAAACGGAGCCTCAGAAGGGGGAAAACGGTAATGTAAGTGACTTTGAACATGGCGCGGTTCTTGCTGCCTGGTCTGAGTGTTTCAGAAACTGATGATTTGCTGAGATTTTTTTTTCTTTTTTGCACAAACGTCTCTACAGTTTACAGGGAATGTTTAGAAGAAGGCAAAATAGCCAGTTGCTCTGTTGATGTCAGAATGGCCAGGCTTCTTCCAGCGGATAACACGCCATGTCACAAATCAAAAGCTCAAATAATCTCACACTGGTTTCTTGAACATGAAAATGAGTTTACTGTGCTCAAACGACCTCAACAGTCACCAGATCTAAATCCAATAGAGCACCTTTGGGATGTGGGGGAACAGGACATTTGCATCACGGCTGTGTAGCTGACAAATTTGCAGCAGCTGTGTGATGTCATCATGTCAACATGGACCAAAACCTCTGAGGAATGTTTTCCAGCACCGTGTTAAATCTGCACCATGAAGAATTAAAGTCACTCTGAAAAACAAAAGATGCCCCAACCTGGCACTAGCAAGGTGAACCTAATAAAGTGGCTAGTGAGAGTATATGTTCTGCTATGCATACAAGAAATCCACTAAATGACAGAGTGAAGTGGAAAATGTTTGTTTACAGGAATTCAAATTCTGCTTTTTCTGTCCTGTTCTTTTTTGAAATATTTGGTCAAAGCTTTCTAATAACTAATTTAAGACCTAAACATTTATTCAACTTCTCAGACTTAGTAGAAATTCCTGTTTTCGAATTCATGAAATAGAAATTAACAGTGAATTAACATTTGGAAAATGCCTCACTTTTTCTATTTGCTGCAGATTTTACATTTACTTCCCTTCACTTAAAAATTCTACAAAAAAAAAGATAATTGGCCATAGATTTATTATTACAAGGGAGGGTTATCATGACAAACCATGTTCCTTAGAAAGCTCAGTGCAGGAATTACCTTTATTAGAGGAGTTCTCCCTCCTCAAGTGCACACATCGATTAACACCTCCCTCAGAATATCTCTGCTGCAGGGGCTCTTTTAACTCTCACACTATCAAGGTAGGCAGATGTGGCCCATAAAAACCTTCCCCCGGCGATCTACCTTGGGAGACACATTAATGCAATGAGCTTCTTTTGAGTAAGAATGAAATGAGGACAGTCATTAGTCAGTTAATATTAATAGATATAATCACTTCATCATGAACGGCACTCCAGTCAGACCTTTAAAGACTTTTCTCACTCCCCGTGCAACATCTGCACATTTTAAAACATTTATTTGACCTTTGTTTTATTAATCCTCTTTGGTGTGGGGAATATTCTTGTGCACGGTGCAGCTGAATGTCCCATGAAGGTTGCAAGAGCATTACAGAGCGAATATTATAATTAGAAGCATACCATAATGTCTTTTGCAACTCTTACAATGCACAGACACAAACACGGTATAACTGTTGCCTTGAGATTATATTATGGTTCTCCATATGTTTTCAGTACAACTGGGAGCTATGACTAACAATTATTTGCTGCTGTTAATTAAAGGAAGAATTTAACATACTGGGAAGGACAGGTTTCAGTTTATAGTTGGATGACAAAAATTCAGTTGCAGCTGAAAAATGAATCCATTATAAGAAGCGTGTCAGACTGATGCTGGCTATTGGAGAGAGAGAATCTGCATAAATCCACATATTAAATGAGCTGCTTTGATACACAGCCTGTTATAAAGAAAAGCAGTTTTGGCTTGTATAGCAAATATTACCCTTCATAATAAGAGTATGGAAAGGGTTGAATTTTTATACCTAAAGTAAAATGTTATAACTGAGTCATTCCTCTGAGATGAACTATGCCTTCTGCTCAGCTGTCTTCAATTTGCATCAAAGTTTTATGATAGAAAATTTGAGTGTTTATATGAATGCTGTGATATTGTAGCTTCATATATCATACACATAATTATCTCATAACCTTTTAAAGATAAGAGTCTGAAATGTTCAGTGCTCTTTTTTATCATCAAAATGAATCAGAATCTGTAATTTGGGATTAATACATTTCTGAGTATTAGCTAATTAAAATATGAAAAAAAAATTCAATCAGTGTTGGAAAGTCCCATTATTGAGCACTCACTAAGACTTTACATTGGGAATATATATACATACATATACATATGGTATGTTGTTGAATTACACAATTTACACATTACACATTACTGCAAAAAAAAAAAAAAAGCATGTAGAACACATTTTACCAGGAAATTCTGAGTCACAAAAATTAAAATCATATTTACATTCAACTTTTATCCTGGAGCAAGTATGATCACAAAAAAAGTTGTAGCACAAAAACAGAGATATCAGTAGATTGTCCTGTACAAACAGAACAAGGTGTTTCCAGATGGTAGTATGATTATAAATCGGAAGATAACTTAGTAAAATATGTGGACAATTTTATTTTTTAATTTTCAAGGCCTGGATCACTCCAATCTCAAATCATCAAATTTTTCGAATAAATCTTCACATTGCAAAAATAACTACTGACAATTTATGAATAGTATATATTTATATTTCACAATAATGCTAAAATAATAAGTATATATGCATGTATATTCGCAATGTAAAGTCTTAGCGAGGGCTCAATAATGGGACTGAAAGCAGTCCCATAATATATATATATATATATATATATATATATATATATATATATATATATATATATATATATATATATATATATATATACTATATATATATATATATATATATATAATATATAATATATATATATATATATATATATAATACCTATATACAATACACTTACTATATATATATATATATATATATATATGATATATATATAATATATATATATATATATAATATATATATATATAGGCCCCGGCAGACCCAGGACACGCTGGAGAGATTATATCTCTCGGCTGGCCTGGGAACGCCTTGGTATTCCCCCGGACAAGCTGGAGGAGGTGGCTGGGGAGAGGGAGGTCTGGACCTCTTTGCTTAGGCTGCTACCCCCGCGACCCACGCTCGGATAAGCGGATGAAGATGGTGGAATGGATTGATGGTTTTTCTAAGGTTTTATGGACTGATGAAATGAGAGTGAGTCTTGATGGGCAGTGATGGGCCCGTGGCTGGATTGGTAAAGGGCAGAGAGCTCCAGTCCGACTCAGACGCCAGCAAGGTGGAGGTGGAGTACTGGTTTGGGCTGGTATCATCAAAGATGAGCTTGTGGGGCCTTTTCGGGTTGAGGATGGAGTCAAGCTCAACTCCCAGTCCTACTGCCAGTTTCTGGAAGACACCTTCTTCAAGCAGTGGTACAGGAAGAAGTCTGCATCCTTCAAGAAAAACATGATTTTCATGCAGGACAATGCTCCATCACACGCGTCCAAGTACTCCACAGCGTGGCTGGCAAGAAAGGGTATAAAAGAAGAAAAACTAATGACATGGCCTACCTTGTTCACCTGATCTGAACCCCATTGAGAACCTGTGGTCCATCATCAAATGTGAGATTTACAAGGAGGGAAAACAGTACACCTCTCTGAACAGTGTCTGGGAGGCTGTGGTTGCTGCTGCACGCAATGTTGATGGTGAACAGATCAAAACACTGACAGAATCCATGGATGGCAGGCTTTTGAGTGTCCTTGCAAAGAAAGGTGGCTATATTGGTCGCTGATTTGTTTTTGTTTTGTTTTTGAATGTCAGAAATGTATATTTGTGAATGTGGAGATGTTATATTGGTTTCACTGGTAAAAATAAATAATTGAAATGGGTATATATTTGTTTTTTGTTAAGTTGCCTAATAATTATGCACAGTAATAGTCACCTGCACACACAGATATCCCCCTAAAATAGCTAAAACTAAAAACAAACTAAAAACTACTTCCAAAAACATTCAGCTTTGATATTAATGAGTTTTTTGGGTTCATTGAGAACATGGTTGTTGTTCAATAATAAAATTATTCCTCAAAAATACAACTTGCCTAATAATTCTGCACTCCCTGTATCTTGAAAAATATATTTGATGTATTAAGCTAAAATGTAACTTCACTCATAATATGTGTTCAAACTTTGGACCATAAAGGTTTTTATAACTCACCTGTTTGGATTTTAACGTTTAAAGTTTGGACTGTAACCACATTGACTGAAAGCTGTGCTGACAGAGGAAGGTGTTGCAGTCACCATCTACTAGACTAATTCTTGTCATTCAACCATGTTACTCATGTTAATGCCTCTTGGAACATTTATGATGGTTTTATTTGGAAAAACTAGGTGCTATGCTATGAGGTACAGCCTATTCAGGAAGGGCTTCTTTGGTTTGAGAAACAGCTAATATATTGATGTCAGGAAAAAAAAATAACATGAGTTTAATAGAGCTTTTCACAACTCTATTCAAAAGAAAAGGAAGTTCCATTTTTTTAGATTAGCAGTAGGGCTAAAGAAGTCCCAGGTTTCACAAGTGCTGGAAACATTCCTCTGAGATTTTTGTCCATGTTGGCATGATAGCATCACACTGTTGCAGCAAATTTGTTAGTTGCACATGCATGATGTCAACCTCCTGTTCCAACACATCCCAAATGCGCTGTTGGATTGGAATCTGCGGAGGCTATTTCAGTACAGTGAACTCACCGTCATGTTCAAGAAACCAATTTAATATTAATTAAGCTTTGTGACATAAACGATTATCCTGATATACGATGCATCAACAAGGATGGATCCAGACTTTGTAGCCTCAGTTTCCTGTTCTTACCTGATAGGAGTGGTACCACGCGTGGTCTTCTGCTTGGGCTTCAAAATATGACATACTGTGCCAGAGATTTTCTTCCACATACCTTAATTGGAACAATTAGTTATTTAATATTCTCCTGCCTTCCTATCAGTTCGAAGCAGTCTAGCCATTTTCCTCTGACTGCTGATATCAATATCAATTTTCACCCAGAGACCTGCTGCTCACTGGACATTCAGCCCGTTTTCTGTAAATCCTAAACCATTTCATGTTTAAAGTCATTTAAATTGACTTTCTTGCCCATTCTTATGCTCAGTTTGAACTTCAGCAGGTAATCCTGACCAGTTGCTCCAGTGTGATTGGCTGATTAGATATTTGTATTAACAAGCAGTTCCAAAAGTATACCTAATCAAGTAGCCAGTGAGTATAGACTGGAAATGAGTAATACAGAAAGTCACCTTTATTTTTTTGTTTAGGCCTCAAAACACAAATAAAAGTGGGAAAACAGCAAATTCTGGTTTACAGGCTTATGTGTGTGTGGTTTTAGAAACAAACTGCAGTTGAAAAACATATTTCTTGTTGGTTCCATTAAGGCTTGGTGGCTCTTTCAGGTCACAACAGACGCGTTCATATTTAACACCAACAAGGTCCTGTGAAATTAAAATGAACAGATAAAAATATGCAGAAAGTTCATCCAGAGCAGACGAGACTGCGTGCCTCTGCTCTTGTGGTGGCCATTTCTGCATCAGCCTTACTGCAAAGAATCACATCTTGTGTTTTCATGAGTTGTCACCATAAAAGCTTCTGTGTTCTTGCTGGTCAGGACATCTTTCACAGGAACAACCACTACAAATAATTCATGATTGTTTCTTTCAGGGGAAAGAGGGAGGGGTGGCTGGGTTAGGTGGGGGTGTGCGGGGGTAACAGAGTGCACCGTGCATCCACCAAGATGCACAGCTGACGGGTGCTAATGTGAGTTACTTACATAATCCCATTTCTAGAGAGTCACAAAAATCCTGACCTCTGGTAAATCTCTCTCCACACTGGGGGAAGAGAGAGAGGAAAGCCAGCTAATTGCCTTTTGAATGGCCACTCTGCAAAACCCTTGTCCTACTGAGTAAATTTTTCTGTTAATCCACCCATCCATGTAAAACATCTACTCCGATCTGAAAGCTGGAGGTGAGGGTGAGAAGGATGCACCTCCCTCTGCCTGATTCAAGCATGTATTCACCTACGGGTGTCCCCTTTACTTCCAAAGTACAACTATATATATTTTCTTCATAAAAAGGTCATATTTTCTCCCTTTTTCTTCTCCACCTAACTCAACCTGCTATTTTTATAAACTATTCAAAAGCCCCCCTTCAAATTTTGCTTCAGAATATTTTAACCTAAAGATTTTGTTGGGCACTGATCAGCAAAGATAAAGCTTATGTCTACACACAGGTAGAAACAGCTGCACCACCCACAGTTATCCAAACACACTCCCTAATCCCAGGATGGGAAAAAGACTTTAGAAGACATCCAGATGCAGTGTAGCAGTAAGGTGGGTTATTTTGTGGGTCCTCGAGATCTCCCTGGTGGGAAAAATTCAGTGCTTCACTTTTCCTGTCCCTCTACATCCGGGGTTTAGTCTGTTCTCCTTGTGTTTGCCTTACCCCTCGACCCCTGAAATGATCCCTCTCAGATGGGAATGTGCGTCAGCTTGTCTCTGTCGCTCCTGTCCTCAGTGTCCGTCACTTGTTCTGACCTCGTCCCTCTGTGATAAAACACAGTCACCGTAGTGTTCCCGCTGTCCTCACTTCCCCTCGTGTTTGTCGCGCAGGAGACGTCCAGCCTCACCTTCGTCGGGCTTTCTCGCTTGGAGTTTCCCGCCTGGTTACTCGCCATTACCGTCTCCACCGCGGCACTCACCGCGGCCAAAAAGCCGCGTCCCCGGCAGCGCAACAGGCGCAGGAAAGCGTCTCTGAAGTCCGCGTTGAACGCATATATGACCGGGTTTAGAGACGAATTGCTCCAGCCGATCCACACAAAGACATCAAAAGTTTTTTCGCTAACGCAGTAAGGGCCGCGTTGGGCCGCCGGAGCAGCTGGTCCGGGACAGAAAGGCAGAGCGCAGTTGAGGATAAAGAAAGGCAGCCAGCAGCAGACGAACACGCCCATTATGATGCTCAGAGTTTTGAGCACTTTTGTCTCTTTTCTGATGGAGACTTTGAGCTCGCAGTGTGACTGATTAGAGGGCTGGCAGTCCGGATGTAGACTGATGTGAGACTGAGACGAGCGGGTGCTCATTTCTGTGCACAGGTGTGAAATCAGTTCAGGAACGTCCGAGCGGCAACTCTGCGCGTGCTCAGCAGCCCGCTCCAAGGAGGATATCATGCGTATCTGCATTTGGGCTATCCGGTAGATGCGTGTGTATGTCACAATCATGATCGCGACCGGGATGTAGAAGCTGATGAGGGAGGAGGAGATGGCATATGTGCGGCTGAGGCTTGAGTCACAGCTGTCAATACTACTACCGTAGTGCGCCGGATTCTCCCCGGTTGGGTCACCGATCTCCGCCCGGTGCCAGTTTAGCTGCACAGGAACGAAGGAGATGACCACAGACACTGTCCAGGTCACACCGATGATGACGGATGCAACCCTCCTATTCATACTCCTCTCATAGCGAAACGGGTTGGAGATGGCCCAGTATCGGTCCACACTAATGACGCACAGGTTTAGGATGGAGGCCGTTGAACACATGATGTCGCAGGCCAGCCAGGTTTTACAGAAGCCCCCGAACGGCCAGAAACCGGCCACTTCGGCCACTGCCTTCCACGGCATCACCAGCACGGCCACCAGGAGGTCCGACAGAGCCAACGACACGATGAAGACGTTGGTTACTTTTGCGCGCAGGTGCCGATAGCGATAAACGGCCGCGCACACCGTGAAGTTACCTAAAAGTGTCCAAATGATGAGCAGCGCCAGAACACAGCCCGTCAAGACGCGGTGCGCCGGTAACCCTTCCCGGCTCCTAGCTCCTACCAGCGCCAAGCCGGTTGTATTATTCATCGCCTCGTCCTGCGCTCGGCCACATGTCGAAGTTAAAGTGCGAGAATCCTCGCCACTAACAAAACAAGAGTCTTAATGGTAACCCACAGTGGCGACTGAGTGTCCTGCTCCACTCGGGCTGATCTCAGCTTCTGCTCTGAGCGCACAGCAGACTGACTGGGGACCTGATGCACCACCAGCTATGCTCACTGCTGACAGCACAGCTCCCAGACGCGCAGAGCTGAGAGAAGTTTGCCACCTGAGAAAAGCAGAAATCATGTCGAGCCATTTTTAATTTTCTCTGTGAACAGTTTCATTCTGCATTACTGTTTGAGATTAATCCCTTCCCGGTCTCTCTCCCTCTCTCTCTTATTTTCCTAATCTCAGGACTCTTACCATCAGTGGAGACGTTGCTGTAACTAAATGAAAGCAGGATGATTCAACACAAACACACAAAAGACTTTCCTTTACAGATGTTCCCATTAATTTAGGCCAGTTTTTCAGTTCATAGAGATTACAGCCAGAAATGCTGAAACTAAAATCCCCCCATTTTATTATTTTTTGTTTCATGCATTTGAATCAGGATATTAGTTTTGGTTTTCTTTGTTTTTTCTTTCCTCACAGACACATTCAGTGTCTCTAATCTTTATTTATAACAGTGTCTTGAATATTTATGTATGACAGGACTACATGGCTTTTTGGTTTATTATCTAAATATAGTTGTCAAGATATTCTATGTGGCAGGCAGAGTGTGGACCCAAATGCAGGACATAGAAACAGTCCTTAACTCCAAAAAGTTGTATTGCTTTGTATTTTAGTATTCTCACAAAAACCAAAAATACAAAAGCCAAGTGCTGGAATCAAAAATGCAGAAAACTCAGAAGATAAGGAAAAACTAAGGGAAAACACAAAATATGGGAGCACACTACTAGAGAGGAGCCTCAGAAAATAAATACACAAGAGGTGGGAGCACAGCTGGAACTAAAGTTAAACTAAACCCTTAACTAAACTTAGCTAAAACCTTCAAAATGACACAAAAGTTACCAAAACAAAACTAACTAACTAAAACAGGAGACAGCCAAGACAGAGCCGGAGACTTAACAAGGTACGGGAAACACACAGCAGGCAGAATAAACTGAAACGGAATATAAGAAAACTACAGCCAAGTATTAAAAATATAGCCTGAGGATGTAAACAAACATAATATCTGCAATCCATTAATTAAAAAAGAGTCCATAACACACAACGTTGCATCAAAAGACCCAGGACCATGACATCTCTTCATCTGGTTTCACTCAAAAATATTTGCATGTTTTCAAAACAGTGAAGTCAGTCACATCATTTGTAGTGTTTATTTTCCCTCAATCACCCAGTATCCAAACAATCACGTCCTTAATCTCATTATATTGGTTTATCAGCTAATCATTATATTCACATAATTTCTGTAAATCCATGCTTTGGTCAAGGACACAGGAGAATTGTTACAGTATCAAATTATTCAATTTCACAACAATAGTTTGATTTTCTGCTCAAAAAGATGCTTTGACTGACCAGGAGACAGCTGGCCTGTATCCAAAGGTAACAAAAACACCTACAAAATCCAGTTTGTCACATTTTCAGTCTTATAATAAGTTAACAGACTGCTGGCTGTTACTTACGATGATGGTGATATGGTGTTTTTTTAATATTAACTCTCAGAGATTCAGACTGTATTCCCTTATGATTTGTTTTACCATGTATTCATGCACTGTGTTGTACTCTTTTATCTGCCAGGCCTCTGGTAGAGAACCCAAACTTGAAGTATAAAAAAACCCCACAGTCAATCCTTCAAGCTCGGGTCCTCTACCTGAGGCCTGGGAGCTTGAGGGTCCTGCGCAGTATCTTAGCTGTTATATATACATGGCATGCATACACATTTCTTCAGAGGACTTTGACATATACTTCTTTTCTGGAGACTTAATCTAACCCAAACTCAGACTACTACTTTACTCACTTTACTTTCAGGTGAACACTGAAACGAAGTCGGAGAACAAGTGCTCAGCTGACATAAAGTAATTTACATTACTGGAATTCATATTTTGTCTCCAAAACAGAGTTAGGTCAAGACTGTATAAACAGAATAATGGTCTGTTCCCACAACATCAGTAATACAAGTGCACTCAAACACAGACACACACAGACGCACAGGGCAGTGGATAAAAGCAGAGTTTTTGGATGGGAACAGAAGCAGATGGCACAGTTGAAGTCACAACATCGGTAATGATGCTGAAATAGCACTCAAGCAATATTTGATCTTTATTAATGGCAATGGGATTTTATTCGAAAAAAGGTTTAAATGAAAGAGATAGAGATAGCAGCACAAAGCAGAGGGCGTGGCGGTGATCATCAGATTATGTCTGTCACCGTTGAGATTTTGTACTTTTTTTGTGCTTTTGGCAGGGTAAGACATACAAAGGAATTAGGTCTCTTCGTTGAAATGAAAGTGTTTACACATGGGCATTAACTCCCTGTTGCAGGTAATGGTCAAATCAAAGAAGACAGTTTAAAGGCCAGAGCATATTATAGTAATTAATAATAGTAATTATTGTGCCAGCAAACACATGAATGGTAAACATTTAACACAAAGTGTTAGTGCTGTTATTGTACACAGTGGTGAGTTCCAGCATTCACAAAGCTGCATTCAGTCTCATCTCTTGTCCCTGTGCTGTCTCTCTGCAGAGATCCTAACACTTACTGTCAAACTGCTTTTCCATCTTTGGGATTTCCTTGTCGCACTTTTCTCGTTCTCTTCACAGGTTGTCCTCCAGTGTCTCTTGGGGCTTTCTTCACTAACCTTTTGTTGCTCAAACTTTATTTTGATGGGTTTTACTTCATCCTCGAAGGGCCTCAGTTCTCAGCTTTTCCATCCTCAGCTTTTCCATCTGCATGTCCATTTCTTTGTGAATTTTCTTCCTCTGATCTGTGAGTCCATCATCCATTTGCTTTTTCCCCTCTTCTCCTCTGAACTCTGGACGAATTAATTTAAGTGTCTTCAAAGAAACTCTCGTCACATCTTCCCTTTTGTATTTCCTGAACTTCCCCTTCAGTATTTTTATTTTTTTACTGTAATCTTTTTAGATCCTCTCCTCCATTGATTTTATCCCTTTCTCTTTCTACTCCACCTGCTCCTCAAACATGTTGGTAACTTTGTGAGGTCTTATCAGTCAAGTCTTACTCAGAACTTCAGTCAACTGCTTCTCTTGTATCTTCTCCTTTCTGTCATTTCCCTCAGGCTCTCCCCTAAAATCCTCCCCATTTCTCTTACCAGTTTCTCCTTCCTCTGATTTTTGCTGAACCATCTCTAAATTTCTCTCATAGTGCTAATTTGTTACATTCTGCTGCTCCTAGTTCTCATTCAATAACCACTTCTCCATCTGTAGGTGATGAGCTACATCTTCATCCATTTTCTAGCAATTTCCTGTGATTTTGTGCTTTTTTTTTAATTACCTTGCTTCATAATATCCACCAAGCAAAATGACTTCCAGCACCTGTTCTTTGCTACAACATAGTACTTTCCATCTCTTGTGGCCAGCAGCTCAGCCAGATTCCTGCTCCCACCTATCACACCCCGTTCATGGATGTGCACCACCAAGAAATGTCTATTAGTTCTGTCTCACTTCCTCTTTTTCCTCCTATCTAGGAAGTAGAGGAGGCTAATACACCTTTCTTCTTCCACTTTCTTCTTCACTTTTTGTGAACAAGGAAGGAAAAAGCAAAGTGCAAAACTGATGAATGACATGAATTATTGTTTATCCTCATTATTCTCCCAAAACACTGTAGTTCTGTAGATATCTCGGTAGGTATGTCAGACCATATGGTCCCTCTGGACTCTAACCGTCATTACTGCTTTTTTTCTCATGATTGAAGAAAGTTTGTATATCTGAAACACTCGGCTCAGCAGGCCTCTGCTCTGAGAAAACACAGTCCAGAAAGAAGCAGCCTGATAATGCAGATACAAGCAGTTTGTGAAGAGATTGGGAGGAGTGTTGTCAACAGGATAGTAATGTGATATTTATATATGTATTCGTCATTTAAGTACCAGGGGTCAAAAATGAGTTGTTATTCTGTCCTTGTTGAGGTCAAACAATCCAAAGAAACAGACTGAAGCAGACACATCTGCACAAGAATGTCTAAAAGTCTTTGCAATAACTTTGTGTTGCATCTCTTGGCGAGAGGAAATTATCAGATAAATGTTGTCCTCCGTGTTGCTTTCATAGCACGCTGCTAACTGTAGGCTAACTCAGTATTTCTTTTTCCAAACTCCACTAGATGGAAGCAAAGATTAGTTCTTCTCATAACAGCCTGACAGCGATGTCTTTGTGACAGCAATGACAAGGAGGACAGTAGACTTTTTTTAAAGATTATGCAACAATTGATTGTTTTTTTTATTATTGATGTAATTTTTTAAAAAATACTGCAGAAAGAAAATCATTTAGTCAGCTATGAAGGAATTTATTTGGTGTCTGAAAATGGGAAGGTAAATAATAATGAACTTCAATTTAAGCCTGCAATAAACTTTATTACTTCCTATTACTAATATGTCCTTCCAATTCGAAAAAGATTTAAAGAACAATGTACTTTTTTGTTGTTGTTGTTGTTTTGTGTTTTTTATTTAGGAACATGAGAGCCAGTCAGTTGCATTAATGCTTTTGTCGATGATCATTGTCCTTCAGAAGGAACCAGAGGCCCACTGAACGAGCCCAACCTCTGACTGTTGGTCAAAAATGTGAAAATCTGTATAAGATTTCAAGGATTTCCCTCCCAGACCTTCACCCACTTCCAAACCAGTCGTGTTGGATCATGCTGTGTGTGTGTGTGTGTGTGTGTGTGTGTGTGTGTGTGTGTGTTTTATATGCTTGTCTACCTGATTTTAATGAGTACTGACTTATAGAAAAAGTGCTAATACATTAATTTATGATTCTATTCTATCCTTTACCTCTTGTACTGTTAAAGTATCTATGGGACATTTGGTTATGCAAGTTCATTCATTAATTCATTCAGTCAGTAACTGAATCGTCTCTAATTTGACCTAATCTGCCCTCCAGAGGCTCTTTTCTGAATTGAAACATTTAAATAAAATAAACCAGGTTCATTCAGTTGCCTGCCCTCTACAGTCCAAACAAACTGCTAATCATCAAAAAAAAACAGGTGAGGGAAAATGAGTGTCTGTGATATGGATAAGATACAATGTTAAGTTTATAAGCTGCATTTTATATAAAAAAAACAAAAAAACAAAAACAGGACAACAAGAAGGGGACAGAATTCACAAACACACCAAATAAGATTTAAACCACCACAAACTGAGCAACAATCATTTTTAATAACACAATATCAAAGGTTTATTTTTAATTGTGCCATTGAGCAAAGTGTAAATTAGCAATAAGGTAGAGTGCATCACCCTTTATTGTGAAAAAGTATCACTAAGGTCAGATAGTGTGTTAAAAGTCTTTGTGAGGTAAATGTTCACCTTTTCTCTTCAAGTATGGAGAACTTGTAAACCAATGTCAGTTTCATGTGGCTTTAACAGCATTAACTCACACGATCTACCAGTGATAGTGTCTATAAGGACAGATGTGATTCATAGGCTGTGTCATCGACATTTACACTGTTTCAAAAGTATTTCAGGTTTTCCTCTTGGTGCTCCCTCCCACATCGTAGCCAACTCTGGAAAATAGCATCCTCTGGTTGCTTAAAACGTAAGGCAAGAAATGTAATGCCTATAGCTGGATGTTTGGCTGTTAGCTCATCAATAATAGAGTCCATGCATGTTCAAGGCAAGGCCTGGATTGTCTTACTGCTCCACTGCTCTGTGACACATGCAAACAGATCTTACATAAACTAACCGAGAGGCTTTCCGTGCACACGTGTGGTTAAATGGATGATTTGTGTGCAGTGACCTCGTCTTCTTTACGTCGAAACAAAACAAAAACCCCAGACAAACACATACACGCACACACACACACACCACACACACACACACACACACACACACACACACAACACACACACACACAATACTGACATGAAACACGGTTTTCTTGCGGACAAAATAGTCTTCATTTGTCTCACGTTGCATTAAAGTCGAACAGAGGTGTAACAAGACTGGAGGTTTAGTGTCGATGAAAAGTAGAAGAAGCTATCAAGACGCCTTGGCAATGATGAGAATGCTCATGAGGAAGACCATGACGAAAAAGATCCACATAAAAAACCGATCCATCACCTTGGCAACTTTCTTCCACTCTGCTACCTTGATGCACGTGGCTCTCTGCTCACGGAAACAGTTTGCAATGTACTCGATGTTCTTAACCACCTGAAGAAAGGACAGATGGACACTTAAAGGTTATTTATATAACATCCAGAAAGCCATTACTGCTAATGACACTTGTGGCCATTAGACAAACTGCAGTCTATAAGTTTCTAGAATTTACATGACAGCAAGAGGTTCATACCAGACCGTTCAGCGCTGTTATGTTGCAGTGTTGCATTTGCTGTAGGTCCTTTATGCTTTAACACACTTAGTTTGAAACATCGTCTAAATTTAATTTAATTTCAAAGGACACCAGGGCATGAGAATACATCACCAGGGAAGTCTAACAAAAACACTTTTACAAATTGCTGGCTTTCCCCCAAATAAGGTTTTTAAAAAGATTTTTCCCTGGAAGTTTTACTACTATCAGTGCTGTCAGGTGAGTCTAGGGCTGGGCCATATTATACCGTTCACGGTAATACCGGTATAATGTTAGGCAACGATAGGAAAATGAAATATCGCGATAGAATGGGAGTAAAACGCGCATGCGCAGTGCCTTTGTTTTCATACGCACATGGCCGATTGTTGAGTGAAACAGATGAACCAGAATTGGTTTGTAAAAATGGTGCAACTTCAGTGATGTGGAACTGGTTTGGTGTTTGTCCGTCAGATACACAACAAAGCACATTTTTTTGCAGAACATGCAAGCGGCCGTCGTTATTGTCGTATTTGTCGGACTAAGATGCTCTTAAATCTGGGAGTAATCTGGGTCCTAAACTCCGTATGCTTCAGGTCAAACAACACTGCAGCATCACTAGAGTTAAAAACTGTCTAAATTCTTTCATCTTTAATAAAACGATCAGCATTGCTGCTTTACCAGGTGTAACTATAAGTTTAACTTCCAGGCATCCATGAAAACAAAAGTTATTACATTTAACGGAGTTAGAAGTTAGCAGGAAGCTAGCGGAAGTTAGCTCGCTAGTTTCGCTAGTTACCTAAGCATGATATAGCATGTTCTGACTGAGAGATTTCTGAAAAAATTCAAACGTACAGCTCTGCTATCACTTCCAACATAAATGAAGACAGGAAACTAAACAGCAGTGACGTTTGTAGGGTTACTGAAGTTGGGCTAGCTGGTATATAATGATGTGCTACGTGATCGCTAGCGACACAGCTATGTTAGCATAACATAAACAGTGAAGCTGGAGGACGAACACTAACACTTTTCCACTTATAAAAGTTAACGTGAAGGTTTTTCATGGTTAGAGACAAATGCAATCGCATGGCAGGATGCTGTAAACGGACCAAACTTCAGTCAGGAGAACAACTGAGATAATCCATCCACAATACGAGGTTAGTCATTAATATACTGCAACAACATGGGAATAGAGCAGCTGCCAGAGAATTCAACATTAATGAATCAATGGTACAGAAGTGGAGGAAGCAAGAAGAATGAGTTTAATAAAGTTTGATTTATCTGACTGCTTTGTTTCGCTTAATGTGCCTTATAATCCCGTGCACCTTATGGTCCGAAAAATACGTACTGCACACTGCAGTTTAATGTTGCAAAGCACCTCTTTTTAACTTCAGTGGATATTATACATGGTTATGCTCAGGATATGTCAGCCCATTTCTACTGGAAATGCCTTTTGGTTAAACTTTCAGCAAGGAATTTGCATTTGCACTGTTACATTTTTATAAAGCTTTAATGTACATAAAAACCAGCTTCTTGTTTAAGTGAAAATAAATGGAAGGTTGTCTTTTTGCGCTAGTAATGTTGTGGAGTTGTATTTTGTCTCGCATCAATTATATCGTCAGTTATATCGTTATCGCAAATTTTCAAATATATATCGTGATAAATATTTTTGGCCATATCGCCCTGCTCTAGGTGAGTCCAGTGTCTCCTCCTTATAATCTTCCTCATTTTCCCCCCTTTTCTGTGGGAAACAGTTTCTTGCTTTGTACCATTGCTTTTATTTATTCTTGGATAAACACACAGTCGGACTCAACACTTAAGATGCACCATGGCTTACGTTGGCTGATGAAGCATTTTGGTGTTCATGTGCATAAAAAAAGGTTTGCAAGCTATTTATAACTTTGCTGATAAATTAATTTACTGATTAAGCCATTTAAAACGATCCAGATTACCAGCCATGGTAGCCCTGAGGGTCTGAATAAATTAGCTTACTCGCACTACATTCGATAGTTAGGCAGGCTAAAATTACCTAACATTAGCAAGAAGAAAGCTTGGGGTCGGCTTTTTCTCTTGAGGTTGTCCTATTTGGTTTTCTTCTGCCTCATGTTAGCCAGTGTTAGCAACAATTCCAAGTGTTAAAGTGGACTGAAACTATCAGGTTATGATGTTCCAGCATTTCCCAGGATGCAGCCTAACTGCTCATCTGCTTTATACCAGTTGAAGTTCAGGGTCTTGCTGCTGCAGTCAGCATTCACTCAGATTTCACTCTGGATTCTTGACTAGCTTAACGTTAGCATGCCCTCTTGGCAGATGCTTTCAAAAACCCAAAGTTGTGTTAGCCGCATGATGTGTTTGTTTCTGTCCTGGATGCAGTTTTCCACTTTACCATTTATTTTGTCCTTTTGTGCAATAATAATAAAATAAATGTCCATATCTACGCTCTAGACTGTCGCTATTTTCCTCCTCTGAAATGCAAACTGAAATCAGTTGATTGTAGTACGAGTGCAAGAACCAACACCGGGATCGATAGGTAGACATGCTAACAATTTTAAGAATTTGGACTATTTCTACAGAAACCGGTTCCCTAATGCTGTAGTCTGGTGCTGCTTCCTCCTGATAGCATAAGATGCTTGCTTAATATAAAGAAAATAATATCTAATTCCCACTTACACCCTCAACATATTTTTTTTCTTTCTCAGCACTGTGTTTCTAAATCACGCATGATTTTTTAAAAATCAGATATTGGATCAATGCGTCATCCATGAAAATACTGGGAAGTTTAGTACAGATTAATACTGGATAAACTGGTTAGTTTGCAGTACTGTAGTGAAGTTTACAGTGATGCAATATGTTGGACTGGTGCAGGGTAGTCTGTGGCGTTCATTGTCAGTGTACGGTTACATCAAGACATCAATTTATATTTAAGCTGATCAGCTTACATATTGTTCAGTTCAGTTAAATCCCAAAAGATCAGTAAGCTTCAGATCAGCAGGAACAGAGTGTTAATGGTCTATATGCAAAGAAAACCAATCTACTGGAACTCACAATACAAGCTTTTATAGATCATTCAGAAGTAGCTTGAAATTTCCAGGTATTTAACCCCAAACTTTTAGATAATATCTAAAAAAATTTGACTTTGATCTAAATCTTCCTGGCATTTTCTTTCCAGTGGCAGAAATAAGCTTCTAAAGTTTTGTGTGTCTATTTTTAGGTGGTTTTCCGAGGTTGCACAACTAAACCAGATATTAGGGTTTCCCCTATCTGACAAAGCACACCCCTGGCCAACACAAATGGATTTCTGACTTGCCAACATAGCAGCTAGCTCACTAATCTTAGTTTGTGTCCTCGCTAACATTTTTAAAGAAAAATCCTCATTAATTGATTACTCATTGGTTTCTGTCCTTATCTGGAGTTTCTTTTAGAGTTTATGCTGTGATGAAACAAACTGTTTTGTGGTTTGTACATTTCCTTGTTCCTTGCCAGCTATTGTTCCGTAATGGCAAAGGGGCAGAAGAGAGACACTGAGGGAGGGATCATTAAAATGAAAATAACTCCTTCCCCATTCACCAAGTTCACAGGCTGTAAGGGGCAACCCAAAGACATGGAGAAGATGTCATTTTACCACTCACACACTGGCAATAAAAAATATTAAACATATAAAAGTCCTACATATAGCTTCTAAATGAATATTAGTTGCGTTTAAAAGTAGTAAAGGATGAAACAGCATGAAGTGTCACCTGTTTATGTTGGATAGAGGGGCAGCAGCAGGGACAGGCAGGGACTTGAATCTTCTCTGAGGAATAGAGGATCTGCTCCTTAAACCCCCCATTCAGGTGTTGGAGGTGCAGTGGATGCCGAGGAGCCTGGTAACCTAGTTCATCCCTCCTGATGTGGTGGTAACGCTGAGTGGGCTCATGCTTTGCGTCACCCCTCTCCAGCCTGGAAGCGTGGTTGTTATGGTTGTTGTAATGGTGATGCCTGCTGTTGGTGTTGCCGTTTGCTTGTCTTTTGTGATGGTTTTTGTGATGATGTACACCATTCCCATTGCTGTATTTGTTTGGATCACTGTCAGTATAGTAGAAGCCATCATGGAAGCGGTCGTCATGGTAGCAGCTCTTATCACCCATTGGTTCCTCTGGGTAGAGCGGGGTCCTCTCGCTTTCTGGCGTGGTGCAGTTCTCCCCGACTTCATAGACAAAGAAGATTTTTGACATGTAGTCAATGATGAGCACCTTAGCCCAGTAAGGGACTGGTTTGGCTTCAGCACCGCAGAAATGAATGTTCATGATGAAGATGGTGAGAGAAGTGGAGGCTGTGATCATAGTCATGGTGGCAATGTAGTACTTCCCTAAAAAGGAAGATAGAAGAAATTACAGATTTATAAATAGAGTCAGACACAATCTATCTATTAAAAAGTCTGTAAAAAATAATAAATACATAGGGTCAAGTGTATGGGTAGCTTAAAAGTAGGTAATACTGGTTTATTTATCTTGAGATACCATGCAAAATTTTAATATATAACCACAAGACTAAGTAACCAGTGGGGCCCCGATTTATGTGTAAAATCGGTCAAAATCTTGACCTTGTGCTTTATATTTTTGAATGAATTTTTATGCATTTTTATTATGCATGTTTTTATTGTGACTTTCAACAGTTTCCATACTTCCATAAATAAATCAGACCTATGTAGGGCATGCTTTCTGCAGGAGGCATGCTCTCAGCCACCAACAACTGGAACACAGTGAGCGCCAGCAGAACCGTCACCCCCAAGGAAACTTTCTCCCCCGAGTCGGCTGGAAGGTAGAAGCCCAACGGAGCCAGGAAGGAGATGAGGAAGCAGGGGAGGAGCAAGTTGAAGATGTAGAAGGAGGAGCGCCTCTTCAGGAGCAGGGTGTAGGTGATTTCAGTGTAAGGATCGGAACAGCAGCCATACATCATGACGTTTCTAACCGCTGGCATGCCGTGACACTCCCACTCCACATTCTCCACAAAGTCAGACAGGTCCCCGCTGTCCATGCCCAAACTGATGTCCACCTGTGTGGAGTCCATACAAGAGCACGATGAAAAGATGTTAGTGAAATATGTACAAACAAGTAGAACTACGATGATGAAATCATGTTAAAACCAAGAAAATGAACATTTAAATCACACAAAAACAACACCCACCACAATAACTTAAACCCAGTGTTGCAAATTAGAAAATCATTCCACCCTGGAAAACAACAGTTCAAAGAAAAGCTCAAAATTACCACAATGAGTGTATTTAAACTTCTACCACAACTGTATGGAGAAATAAGCTCCTTAAACATCTACTTTAGCACATTTTTCTTGTGTTCATCTGTTCACTCAGTAGTGTCCATGAGTGTTTCCATACTTTCTATCACTGAGTTCAGCAGCGAGAACATACTGATAAATATTTAAGACGCTATGTGTTTGTCAGCCATATATCTGTCTCCTTCTTGCTCTGCATGCTCCCTGTGTGCAGACACACCTGGTTTCCATTGTAGGTCCAGGAGCCAAATGTGAGATTGCACTGCTGCCAGTCAAAGGGGAAGTAGGAGACGTCCACCACACAAGAGCTCTTTGTGATGGCCGGAGAGTCCCAGATGATCTCTCCGTTGTAACGCAGCTTCACGTTAGTGTTGGATGGGCCTGACGACTCCTCATCTGCTCTACGTGGACAAAAACAGAAGGAATGCGTGAGCTCGATCAGATGCACCTTTTCCATTTGATTAACTATAAAAATATGATTCCTCATCTTCTTTCTGTTCTTCTGTCTTTGTTTGTTACTGACTTGTTATAGAGGACAATGTCGGGCTTCCAAACCAGGTCACTGGGGATGTTGATCATTTCAAGGTCATCATATTCCTCCTTGTCCCACTTCAGGTAGGCATCATGCCAGACCTGTCTGATCCACAGGTATGTGGTTAACACCTGATTCCTCTCATCCTAAACACACACGAACATAGACACAGTGACAGTGCCTCGACTTATGGCTCCCACAAACGGAGTACACTTGAAGACTCCTACTTTATACTACATTATCCTGAGTGTGATCCTCACAGTACACTGAAAGGCTGTATGCTGAAACCCATCTTTATCTGTAGCTCTGAAGATGTGACCACTGGGAGTAAAGAAGCTCTGTGAAAACAGCCTCTTTGTCAGATCTACAAAGGTTAAATGATCTGGGTTTCCCAGCTAGTGCTTTTAGAAATGTAAATTTGTTACTGAATGCTTGAGTTTCAAACTGGAGGCGTGGAGTTTCATAACAGCCAGTGAGGGTCTAACACAGCAGGCTGGTATAAAGGGGACTAAGTGTGGGAACCATGGGGTTTGGTGGGTGCTTGGCATTTGGAAATCGCAAATTCTTCAAATTAGCATAAATATGATTATATCTTTATTCAGTTGCAACATTGCTTATCTTCATTATGACAACCGCAGAGCAACCTCAGCACTAAAACATACACGACTGAGTGTCAAAAAGATGGAGCGGTTGAGTGTTTTTAATTGCATTAGTCTGCGCAGGCATGCCTAATAAAGTGGAGGCTGAGTGTATGTGAGTTATTACCACTGTACAATAAATCATCTGAAACATGTTACAGGAAAATGTGACTGTCAGCTGCTTCTTAAATTTCTTATCTTTACAGCTCAGATTGTCATCAGATCGATGTAAAATGTTACCGCATAATACCGCATTATTTGTTTTTTATTACACACCATTAACCCTTAACACCTACTGAAGCATATTAAATATATGGATTTTTTTCTAGGTTTTTAGGACTTTTGCATCATCAGTGGGATTTTTTTACTCCTCTGAAAATCCAAAATAAATTGCATAATACATCTTTAAGCAATACATTTGAGGGGGGAAAGCCAGATGTAGAAAATATGACACAAATTAAAACTCATATATTTATTTTTTTATTGGAATTGTCTGCAATGGTTTCATTGTCCATGCTTTAAAGGGTTAAAGTGCAACCTCGGCATAATGCCACTCTGGATTTTATTGCAAAAACTGTGCATGTCACTGTTAAAATGTTGAACCGGTGTGGCCAAGCAGTGGTCAAATCCACACAATGTTTCTTCTAATATAGCAGTCATCTCACAGTTTGAAAAGGGAACAAATACACCTAGCTATTGATAAATGTAATTAAATTTAAAATACCTTAATTTTTTTCCACATTATATATTCCCCTGCAGGCTTTTAAAGAAATGATGGCTTGGATTTGGACATACGCGTCCCAGACTCGTATTGAAAAGTTTAAGTAACAAAAGGGGGCGACCACAAACGTTCCTCTCTACTCACCATATCTTTGATCTGTGACAGAGTGATCTGCAGGGAGACATTGAGGGCTTTGTCTGTGTCCTCTACAGGTCTCAGAGCATTGGAGTAGTTCTCCATCAGGTCGATTAGAAGTTTATGGGCATAATGACCCTGAGCACAATGGGACACTGAGGAGCAACACACAGAAAGAGAATGGAAGGCTGCACTAAACAGAGAGAAGGAAACTACAGATGATGAACAGTAACAAATCTAACTTGGCTGATTAAAGCAAACTCCCGCCTCAGCGGTGCAACAGTTAGTGACAGCTGCGGCATCAAAATGAGAACTGACCTCGCACCAAAAGGCCGATCCAAACCATCAGCGATGCCTTCCTCATTCTTAACCGGTCACAGGCCCAAGGATCAATTATTCAGCAAAGCAGTCGCTGGGACAGCTTGTGTCCTAATCCAGCGTCACTCGATTCTGATCTCCATTCTCCCTCGCTGAAGCCGAGCCAGCCGAGACCACAGAAAATTCTCGAAATCTTACATCCTGTCAGAAGCTCTCAATGCTTCGCTAGTTGTTAGTCGCAGTTCGTCTCTGTCACTGTCTCTCTCTGTGTGTAATCGCTACTGGAACAGGACCTGGAGCTATCACACACACATACACGCACACACAATCACACATGCATGCACACACAACCACACAAACACTCAAACACAGGTACAGGTGCAGTATCACATAGCACACATGCACTGGGTGAAATGCGATGCCTGCAGCCCCATCCACTTCTGTACATGACCACAACCAGCTGTATGACACACACACTCATGCACACACACACACACACACACACTGAACCCTACTGTGTTACACAGCTAATGACAAATGTCAGTCACACACATTCAGTGCATCTCAGTGACACTTTCTTGCCCATGTTCATGTAATTTAACAGGAACACTGAGGATGTGAAACGAGTCAAACATTTCACATGACAATGAATTTTACACAGATCCGGGTCTAAATCTGTAAACAGGAATTTAATAACATGGCAACAGATCAGCCACTGAGAGCAGATTTCATCTTCAGCTGTTGAGGAATCTCAGATCTTCTTGTTTTGTGTACTTATACAATATATAAATACAAAATACGAACCAAGTTTATTTAAAACATAGTCCAAAAAGTGAAATTATGATCATGTATTCAGAAATACAACAATACAGTAAGAAAAAAGGGAAAGAAAGGTATTAAACGAGCATATTCTTAACACTTAACACACTGTTTGCTGCTATAACTACACATGTTTCTTGTTCAGCTATTTATTTATGAGTGACTTATGTATGTATGTATGTATGTATATATATGTATATATTGTACTATTCTTAGTTAGTGTATTGTCTGTCTTGTCTTAATGTTGGTTTATAACGGAGCACTGTAACAAAAAATAATTTCCCCCAGGGATCAATAAAGTATTCTGATTCTGATTCTGATTATTCATTGGAAGAAAATGTAAAAAAAAAAAAAACAGAAAAACTGTAAAATCTTACAGTCTGCATCTATGAAACAGAAAACAAAAGCCTCCACATCAGTAAAAAGATGCTAAAAAAGGGATTATTGTCTAAGGAAATGAAACGTGAAGCTAACTTTCATTTATCGCACAGCGTAAAGATGCTAAAGTTGGCAGAGCTGTAGGTTATGTAAACGTGAAGCAGGGCAGATCTTAAAGAGAACAAGAAATGCCAATCGGCTTTATTCACAAAAGTCTAAAACTTCAGCGCTTATTCAGTAATCCAGAAAATTAGGACAGGTTTCAGAACTCTCTCTAGCTACAGAATGCAGAAGCACTCATCTGTTTATTCTGAAATACATATAAACTTAACTTTGGAAATCAACACATATCATTTCATTTGAACTTTATGCTAATTTGTGCACACACAAGATAAACATTATTTATATAATAGCAAAAACAGAAGCTCACGTTTCAAAGTATTTATTTAATTTACATCAGCGCACCGGTTACATCCGGTTAAGTCCAATACTGGTTAAAAACGGATCCTTGTGTCCTGGAGTAAAAGAATACTTCTGGATGCTGGGAAAGATGGATTAAGGAATCAAACGTCAGTGAGAAATGTTATTGACACAGTGTTACTGTCTTATTCTGCAGAGAAGTGTGCATGGTGATGTGATGTGTTAATGTGTCACTCAGTTTCTGTGGTACTGAGCTCGTATAGGACAGGTGTTTCCTGTGTGTGTGTGCATGCGTACGTGCATGCGTGTGTGTGTGTGTCTGTGAGGAAGGAACGTGTGAAATAGAAGACTTAGAGTTTGAGAAAGTCAGCTTTTTAAACCATTCCTTATCTTCATTTCAATGTTTGGTTCACTGTGTGTTGCCGGTACGTGCTGTGTGTGTGTGTGTGTGTGTGTGTGTGTGTGTGTGTGTGTGTGTGTGTGTGTGTGTGTGTGTGTGTGTGTGAGAGAGAGAGAGAGAGAGAGAAAAGGGGGAGATAAAGATAAAGACATGGGCACTCAAAGAGCAGTGGTTTGGCCATAACTGTGGAAAATATGTATAAACTGATTATCGCCCTCCCACAATAATGAGCAGATTCTGGTAAACTGAGCTCATTTGCAGTAAGAAAAGCACTTTGATCTGAAATATTCTGTCTGGTAATATAATAAATGATTTTATATTGCCAGATCCCATCAAATATATAAACAATTAACAGTTAACTAATAATGTCTAGCGAGAATTGTTTGTGTAGGCACCGTGTGACTTTACTTTTCGGCCCTGTGGTATAGAGCTCAGATCAGTTAGCCACATTATCGCACTGGAAAGGCCCCCTTTTTTCCAGAAGTGATTTTGTCTCGTTGAAAAACAAAGGTTAAAATATTAAGATAGTTCATTTGCTTTTAGCTGCATTTAGTTTTAGGGATGTGTGATGACTTACTGTCATACTGACTGAGGCCACTACAGCCTGAATACCACAGGAAGAAGACTGGAAAGTACTGAGAGGTGCTTTGTTACTTTTGGCCTTTAATTGAATTTTTCACTGGAATTGTTGAAAATCAGATTGTTACGTCATTTAAAAAATGCAAAATAAGGACAAATACATTTATTTCTTCTTGTTTTTTAGTAAATCGTGTCTGTTGGAATCAGTTATTAAATATGCTGCTTTTTTCTTTCTTTCCTTTGTGCAATATTGTAAAAAATGGAAACGAGTGGCTGTTTTTCCTGTAACAGTAGTGCAAGAGCTTTGGAATAAAACCAAAGTTAAATGTACTCATTGTCATTAACGTTATTAGCGACACTTGTGTTTATGAATTCTCCTCCAAGGCATATGAGAAAGAAGCACACCCACCACTCTCTGACTATGAAGTGGCTTGGCTGCATACAGTTGTGTACACCACCAGTGTGTGTGTGTGTGTGTGTGTGTGTGTGTGTGTGTGTGTGTGTGTGTGTGTGTCAGAGAGGCAGAGAGAGAGACAGAGGCATACAGCGACACAGAAGACAAGGATAAGGTATTGTGGTAGCTGTGGCAGAGAGCACAATGAGAGATGAAAGCTGTGACCACAGCAGGCTGTCAAACACGCTGAACTCTTAAAGTCAAGCATTTCTTATTTGTCACTTATAAAACTGCCGACATGCATCGAAGGCATGTAAAATGTCCTTTTACAAGTTACATTTATCGTCAGATACATTTGAACATGTGACAGCATCTTTGGATTACAAGTACCCTTCAAAAATATACCAGCAGCAAAGTAGAAATTATGCTTTTGCTACTAAAAATCAGAAGGAAACTTGACAAGAGAGGGAAAATAAAGAGACTGGCTCAAGATTTTCTAAACTGTTTATGTCCTAATAGCACAGCAAACCTATGAATTATATGTGTAACCTTTGTACGTCTATGAAAATGAACACACAATTTCATGTGCTGAAAAAATACACAACTTCTTACTGTTGTTTTTATACGTTTGATTCACACTTAATTACTTAAACATTTCACAAAACACTTGGCAAGAATACACAAAACATACAAACCGATATAGTAACACATCTACATCATATCATATTTATACATTTAATAACATCTTTACAAACGTTGCTTCTATGACAACACGTGTATCACTCCTTTAAAGTCTATTGAGGACCAGTAAGTCAGCTAACGTAAACAATCAATGTTAAGATTATTTGCCTGACAGAACAAACAAGCTTATTTGGCTTCGATTAGAAGATAGCAAAATTAAAGGAAAGTTAAAACCAGTTTGTACACTTGATTTATTTTTATTTCAAAGGCAAATACATGATGTAGCAGAAACACATTTAATTCTGACAAACGCCTTTTGGCATGGGGCTTTATTTATATTGTTAAATGTTTATTATGTGAATGAAGTCTAATTTCTCGTGCCCATGTCATATGACACAACTTTAGCACACAAACTGATCTGTAAAACTTAATAACTTTTTTTAGTTAAAGTAAATGAATCAAACTTTCAAATAGAGTCTCACTGGTTCATTTGTACCCCGGATAACTGGCTTATTGTACCATCGCTGATGGACTTGCAGTTTCATCAATTTCAGCTCACGCTCTTGTGTGTTATCTACAGGGAGCTGTATGGTTGTCAGCACAAGTGTCAGTGTGTGCAAAAAAAACGTGTGTGTGTGTGTGTTCAAGTGTGCGGACAGATGTGTTGACAGTCGTTGTGTGTGTTTGCACAACTTTGTCTATATTATATACAGACTATATGTGTGTGTGTGCTGGGATGTGGTTAGGTGTTTTTCACCATATCCTTCAAAAGTCTTCATTTGTACCTCTCATCCTCAGCAGCTCTAAACACCATATAGGACAGAGATATGTAGAGAAACAGCAGGAGACAGCATGAGGGGGGAGGAAGAGCTCCTCTGAGCTTCGTCCCTGGTGCTTTGCTTTTCCTGGTTGTCCTTTTTTAGACTTTCATTTAGCTAAAACAATAAAGTTTGGTTTAAACTGAAAGAAAATTGTTTCATACGAACTAATTTGTTCAGCCATATGTGTCGTTCTCTGATGTACGGGTCTCACCCCTCATGTTTAGGACAAGCGATGATGTATTGACGGCATTTAAAATCTAAATGTTCACAGTGTCAATAACTCATATATCAAAATAATGAAAATTATTCTTGTTGCCTGCTTTTGCAGAGTTACTGTTACAGACTATATCTTACGTTTTGACTTGAAATGGAGCTTTAGACGAATAGATTTCTGTGTGTGCGTTGATTTTAATTGATTTTACATACAACACAATATACATACAATATCAAAATCTTGTAATTTTTTTGACAAGCCTGACATTTTTGGTCTTCGCACTTGACAGTGTGAAAGCCTTACATAAACACCAGAAGGTATTTCTAATCATACCGCTTCTGCGTATAACAGCTTACACCGATACGAGTCCCAAAACCCTCAGGAGCAAGTTTTAGGCTAAATAAATAAATCTAATAACTTGAATAAAGTTTTTATAATATGCATATTATTCATAATTTATTTAATCATACAACAGTAACATTAACATTTTTCTGCACATCACTCTGCATTAGTATATATCATACAGCTACTACAGTTATATAAACCATACATCTCATCCCATACATTAGATGGCTGCGTATTAACGGTCTGAGACCTTAGACGTCTAAAGACTGCAGACGAGCGTTGTATGCAGAACATGACACATTAAGTAAAGCCCTTATATGGAAGCTCATTGGTGTTCAGATCTTTTTCAAATCTGCTTGGTGGGCTTTTTTTTTTTTGTGATCCAGCACTCTACTGAAAGCCAGTATATACAAGTCTTTTTGATTGGTTGATAAAGCTTTCTTCAAACAAAGTGTTTTTAACATACTTATCATTAGTTTGAAGAAATAACCAAAACCTTTATAGTTTGAAACAGCTATTCTCAAAATGTGCTGAAAAAATATAAAACTTCTTACTGTTTTTTACACACTCTGATCCGCACTTCCTTTGAGTTTAATTGCTTCCATATTTCATATAACACTTGTTAGGGATACACAAAACATGCAAAACAGCATAGCAACATAAAACACCGGCCACACGATATACACTATATGCATATAGTGAAGTACAACATGTTTACAAAAGTTCCCATCATATTCTGTGGCACTGTGTAGAAATTTGTGTTGATTTGCTGAAATCAA